AAAAAAAAAAAAAAAAAAACATAAGAGGAGGAAAAGACTTAAAGAATAAAACCCAGACTGCACAGGAAATACTACAAAGAAGCAACAACTGGGGCCTCATCTTATTAAAAAGCTTTTGCGCAGCAAAAGAAACCACCAATAGCCAGATGTCGTGGTGCATACCTGTAATCCCAGCACTTGGAAGGCTGAGGCAGGAGGATTGCTGTGAGTTCCAGGTCATCCTGGGCTACATACTGGGTTCAAGACAAGCCTGAACTACATGCTGAGACCCTGTTTCAAAAAAAAAAAAGAAAGAAAGAAAGAGAAACCGCCAACAGAGTGAAGAAACAACCCACAGTGGGGAAAAATTTTTACCAGCTACTCATCAGACAGACTGTTGTCTAGAATATACAAAGAACTCAAAAAAATCAGATCGCCCAAATTTAAAGACCCAATCCAAAAATGGGCATCTGAAATGAAAAGACACTTCTCATATGAAGTGAAAACAGCAAATAAATATATGAAAAAGTGTTCAACATTCGTGAAATGCCAATTAAAACAACAATGAGATTCTATCTCATTCCAGAAAGAATGGCTGCTGTCAAGAAATCAACCAATAACAAATTCTGGAGAGGCTGTGGGGAAAAAGTAACGCTTCTTCACCGTTGGTGGGAGTGTAGGCTGGCGCAACCACTGTGGAAATCAGTGTGGAGCTTTCCCACAAAGAACTAAAACTAGAGGTTCCATTTGATGCAGCTATTCCACTTCTTGGTATCTTCCCAAAAGAATTAAAAGCATCACACCACAGCATACGCACACCCATGTTTATAGCAGGACAGTTTGTAACAGCTAAATCTTGGAAACAGCCCAAATGCCCATCAACCAATAAATGGATAAAGATGATGTGGGGTTTTCTTTATACTCTGCCATAAAGAAGGATGGGTTGTAGACATTTATAACTAAATGGATGGACCTCGAGACCATACTCATAAGTGAAATAAATTGGACACACATATTTAAATACTGTGTCATTTCTCTAGTGTGAGAAACTGAAAATGGAAATAAGGACTAAAATGTATAATAGATATTGGGAAATGGGAAGAAAATGTTCAAATGGGAAGGGAAACAAGGGAGGAGGGTGGGAGGAAGAAAGGAAGGGACAAGAAAAAAGTGAAAATAGAAGGAAAAATGGAAACAAGTTTTTGTACATAGGAAGGGGAGTGGGGAGGGGGATAAAACAAAATTAAAATTAAAAAATATTTTGATCCTAAGTTTCTTACATTTTAATTTCAGGAGCATTTTCTTTTGTTGCCCTGAATATCTTTCCTATGGCATTTGCTGCATTCTCTTATCACGATTTATGACCATAGGTGTTGTATCTCCTTTTCTTTCATAATTATTATCTTCACTAGCCATTTAACAATTTCCTCCATCTGTGTTCTTGCCTATTTCATGTTGTGATTTTCCACAAGCTCTGATCCTGATCCTTCCTATAACTGGGTTTATTACCGTGCCAGACTATGTTGGTTCACATCCATGCCCCCTCTCCCATTGCCTTCCCTGGTTCCAGGAAGCAGCATTCCCATGCTCCCAGGGTGGGGAAGCACTGTGGGGAGATTAGAAGGCAGTGCTGGATGGGCAAAGCCATCCTTCCACTTCTGGGTGTGAGGATTATAGGTGACTGTGCCTGAAGGGAAGCAGCTGCGGTATCACCAGCCATGGAGGCAGGAGGCTTCCATCCAGAGGTAGTGACACACCTCACAGGCAAGAGTGAGTACAGTCCTGGGCCTCAGTACGGGTCACACCTGGGCTTTCCAGTCTTATCTACTACCTTGTAACCTATTTCCCTCATTGCTTGTCTCTCTGCTGAAAATATCTAGAGGGACTTCAGTTTTCCTCACCAAACTCTGAGGACTCCACGTAGGGCCATTGTTACCATTCCTTGTGCATCAGTCAGTGCTCACTAAAGAAACAGGTTTAATGCAAGATATACACATAAATAAGAATTTACGAGAGTGGCTTACAGTGGCCATCCACAGGGTCAGGCGTGGAAGAGAGTGGAAGCTCTGTCTGCACACTGGGGATCCGCTGGGTGCACTCGAAGGCCTGGAGCTCAGCGTAGGGTCCCGTGGGAGTCCGTATCAGGAAGCCGAAGGGTCTGTGCTGGAAGCCAGGAGACAGCATGCAGGACGAAGGTGAAGACAGAGCTCCTCTGCAGAAACAGAAGCAGCCTTCCTTCTTCGTTTCCCTTTTATTCCATTGTGGCGACAATCCTCCCTGGGGTGGGTCTTCCACACACAGAACTGTGCTGACCCAATCTAGCTGGGCATTTCCAACTCACATTGCACAGTCAATTAACCACCACACCTTGTTTCCTATGTGACTTTCACTTCTGAAAAATATTTTTCTTTTCCATTACTTGGCTCTACCAGCTCACTTTTTGTCTTCAGTGTCATAATTTCTTCTTTAAATCCTTGTCTCTCTTCTTTGAGCTCTTTTGATCTTTCTGAAAGACAACTAAGGTCTCAATTTGATATATTCTCTGTGCAATTTCTCCTGCAATAAATGTTCTGTATCTCCCCTATTTTCCTGCTGCCCCCTACCTTTTACAGCTCTAGTCAGAGGTCTTTATTCTATTGAGCTTCTTGAAATTTGGTATCAGAAGTACCCACGGGCTTGTTAAATCACAGATTCCCAGCTCCCACCATCAGTTGATTCAGCAGATCTGGGGATGGGCTAGGGAATCTGTCTCTCTGTGTGTGTCTCTCTCTCTGTGATTTTGGGGATTGAACCCAGGGCCTCCACACTGAGCTAGACCCCTAGCCCTATTTTTCTTTAATTTTTTGACTCAAGGTCTTGCTAAGTCACTAAAATGCCTGGGCTGGACTAGAACTTGCAAACTTCCTGCCTCAGTCTCTCAGAGTACTGGGATTACAAGTGTGTGCCACCATGCCCAGCTGGGAATCTGCATTTTTAACAAGTCCTCAAATGCAGCAGACACTGCTCTTTCAGGAACCACCCCATGAGGGCTGGCTGCCAATGGCCCACAGATGCCCCAGTTCCTGAGAACCACCCTCAAGTGACAGAATCTGTCTTACCCAGAAATGCGTGACAGAGTCCATCTTCTACTTGAGCAGTGCCCATGGCCAATGACTGAGGTGCTGGGGTGAATGAAGGTGTCATCCCTGTCCTGAGTGAGGGAGTGTGCCTCTGGTGCCGTTTGTGCCGAGCTTCCTAGACACTGGCCAAAGCCATAACTTTTGCTAGTTTTTCCTCTGCATTGTTTTGATGGCCTCTTAATGTTTCCCTTTGCAGTGGGACTCAGAGCAGTGCCCATTAGTGGCTTCTTCCTTGCTATGGATGCTTTCTCATGGGCTGTAATGATTGTGCCCCGCATTCCTCACACTTACGTGTTAAAGCCCCAACCAAGTAGGGCTACATGTGGAGATGGTGCCTACAGAGAGGTAATCAAGGTTAAAAAGGTCATAAGAGGCTGGGGATATAGCTCAGTGGCATAGTAATTGCCTGGCAAGTGCAAAGCCCATTAAGAGGAGTGCTCTGATACAAAAATAATATCTTTATAAGCATATACACAGTAGCCAGGCATGGAGGTGCGTACCTGTAATTCCAGCTACTCGGCAGGCTAAGGCAGAAGGATTACAAATTCAAGCCCAACTAAGAATCAGCAATTTAACAAGACCCTGTCTTAAAAGACTGGGAATGTATCTCAGTGTGAAGGGCCTGGGTTCTATCCCCAGTACTGGGTGGTAGTGACACCAGAGAGCTCTCTTGGTCCCTGCATACTCACACAGAAGAGGTCACGCGAGTACACAGTGTGATGGTGGTCACCTGCCACACCATAATGGATGCTTCTCCAGATCTCAGACTTCTGGACTTCAGCAGTGACAACATAAACATCTGCTGTTGAAGCCACCAGCCTGTGGATTTTGCTGTGGCAGCTAAGCTGAGGCACCATGCTTTACCTCCAGGAGCCTCGTCAGTGAGTCTTGGCTGGTTTCTCCTTCAGTTCCTCCTCCCTGCCATCCTGTGTTAGGAGCGGGAGACTATGGGGAGATCCTCCCTCCTGCTGCAGCCACTTGGGGTCCTCTTGGGACTAGTCAAGGGACGGCTGGCTGAGCTTTTCCTAGTGAAGTCACCAGCTCTGGGAGTCCATGCGTCAGTTCTTAGCTTCCTCCTTCACCTAATTCCGGATTTCACAGTGCTTAGCAAGTACAAGGATGTGTCCCTGTTAGAAGCCATAACTATTTCCTTGACGGTTAAATCATTTCCTCTTTCTTTTTACAATAATTCTTTGTGTTGTGAATAATGAGTTTTGAGAAAGGGAAAGAACAAAGATCCCTTTGCTCCACTATCTTTAGCTGTAAGTATCCACTGTATGTTTATGTATGACTGGTATCTCTCACTATAATATGGCACAAGAGGCACATATATCTCATACTTTCTAATGTGTACATGCCTGCTAGTTTCCAGTTTTCCTATCTTATGAACAGCACCACCATAATTTTTTTCCATTTATTTTGGTATATTTGTCCCTTATTTGCTCATCTTGAAATGTATTTCTAGAAGTAGAATTTCTGTAGTAGTGACAAAGACTTTGTGTACATGCTTAAATCTCTGATGAACTGCCACAACACTGGGAAATTTCACGACCAGGATCAAGTTACAAAGGGCGGGCTGGAGGGTGGAGCTGGCAGTAGATGCCTCCTACATTCCTCAGACAGAACCCACAGCTGCAGTACTTTTTGAGACGTTTCTACAAATGAGTCACAGACACAATAATTTTCATCCCTGTAATATTTCCTTCATCATGACCAAATGGTCATTAGAGCTTTATTTTTTCATCCATTCCTTTAAATAAACATTGGTTGGTTGTTTAACTTTATGTAAGACAGACACTGTGAAAGGTATTGGCCTACAGTAAGTGACCCACAAATGTATGTGAATTTTTAGCTAAACCATATTAAAAACCCCTCAAAGATTTCACAGGGTAGCCAGGGATGGTGGCACACGCCTGTAATCCCAGTGCTTAGGAGGCTGAGGCAGGAGGACTACCCAGAGTCCGAGGCCAGCCTGGGCTACATAGTGAGTTTGAGGCCAGCCTAAACTACAGAGTGAGACCCTGCCTCAAAAGACAAAATGATTTCACTGAGTAAGGAAATACAGACATATAAATCAATAGACAATGTTCATTCATTCAGTAAACAAATATTTACTAAGAATCTCTGTACTGGATGCTATTCTCAGCGGTAAGCAAAAGCAATAAAACCCCCTGCCCTTGTGCAGCTGACACTCTACTAAGACACAGAGACAACAAACATGATATGGTCCCTAAATAAAGAAAAAGATAGCTGTAAACTGTCTCCATCAGGGTGTGGGACCCACCAGTTGAACCCCCGTCCACCGCACTCACATGTGTGAGAAGACTGCATGGCTCTTGTTTGCACAGCACATGTGGGATATCTCTAAGGAAAAACACCTAAGTTGAACTGCAACAACAGAAAAGATGAGTAAAGACAAGAACTCTGAATTCAGAACATATATTGGCTGCCGCAGGAATCTAACCTAAGAGCAGAAAAATAGAGAAGAACGACTGAATATGTTTTTGCTGCGGGGTATTCTGTGGGGGATAAGAGGCAAGGAGGAGACACAGGACTTTAAGCCAGAGCCAGGGAAGGCCTGGGTGAGAGAGATTTTTAGTAACAATCTGAAATGAATGAGTGCTCACTTAGGCAGCACATTTACTAAAACTGAACTGCATGAGGAGGCCAGTTACAGACACCTGAGAGAGGAAGTCCACGTCCCATGATGCAGGAGGTGCCACACGCAGGTGGAGAAGAGGCCTGGTGAGGGGAAGAGTGGTGCCAAAAGATGCTGGGGTGAAAAACGAAACAAAGCACAAGGATCAAGTCATGCGTCCCCACACTTGCTGCTGACTTAGAATAGTCATATGAGGAGAAAATGATTTTTCAGTCTAGGAAGATGCAGTTTCAAGCATACTGCTTTCAAGTATGGTGCACGGCTGGGTATGGTAGTGTACGCCTGTCATTGTAGCATCTGGGAGTCTCAGACAGGAGGATTGTCACAGGTTTGAAGCCAGCTTGGGCTCCACAGAGAGTTCAAAGCCAGCACGAACTACAAAGTAAGACCCTGTCTCAAAAAAAAAAAAAAAAAAAAAAATTCTCTGCACAAATCCAGGTGTAGTGGCACATGTCTGTAACGCCAGCTACTTGAGAAGCTAAGGCGGGTGGATCTCAAATTGAAGGTCAGTCTGAGTTACACAGGAAGTCTCTGTTTCAAAGTAAAACACAAGACTGGGGATTTAGCTTAGTGGTACCACTGCCTCACAAGCACAAGGTCCTGAGTTCAATCTCCAGTACACAAAAAACAAACAAACAAACAAACAAACAAAACACAAAAAGGAATGAAAGTCTAGTTTAGTGGTACAGTACCCCAGGTTCAATCCCTAGTATCACCAAAAGCAAAACAAAACAAAACAAAAATAAAACAAACAGAACTCTGCTTAAGTATTTGGGCCATTTACTTTTTTTTTTTTTTGTACCAGGGATCAAACTCGAGTCCTTGCACTTATGAGGCAGGTGGCGGAACCACTGAACTAAATCCCTGGCCCTCTGCTTAGGTATTTTAAAGCAAATCTCAAATATCACGTCATCTCACTCACCCCTATCTATGCATCTCTGAAAAGCATGGGCATTTTCTTACATAGGTTTATGGCCAGTAACACATCTAGCAAAATAAATAATAACACTTAATCCACAAGCAAATATATCCAATTTTTTTTTAGTGCTCTAGGGAATGAACCTAGGCCCTCACCCGCACTAGGCAAGTGCTCTACCACCAAGCTTATCTCCAGCTCCCTACTGATCTTAAAAATGTCTTTTCTTGGTTGATTTATTCAAACCAGCATCCAATGTCTCTTTGACTCTAGAGTGAAGCCCTGTCCTTAATTAACATTTTAAGGCCACCGAAGTGTTGAGGAAATCAGGCCACTCATCTTGTAGGACATCCTAGATTTGCGTGCATGTCATTTAGGTATAGGCTGTGTTATGCTATGGAAACCAGCAACTTTAAAATCTCTGTGGCTGAAACAATGAAACTTGAATCTCACTCCTTCCCTATATCTA